TCGGAAGTCAATCTGAATTTGCAGCTTGCATTCTTGAGAAAACCCAGTTCAAAAAAGAAATTATTCATGCGAGAAAATTCGTATGTATTCGCCATTGGCGAGGGAAGACGTGATGAAGAGGAAGCGGTATTACTTGATGAGTGCAGTGTTGACCAACCGCTAGATAGCGCGAGAATCCACAAATTTGGGATGTACATGGAATGCGTAAACAGTAGTCAACAAAACCTCACAGAGAAGTCTGATTCATTTCTACGCACGAGGTCCAACAAAGATGGTAGGTGCTCTCATCGGTACCACAAGCGAAGCTCATGAGAAGGACCACAGAGCGCAGAAAGAAGTGGATCAAGGAGCGAAGACAAGAGTGGATCAAGATCAAAGTCAGAGTCGCCGCCTTCGAAAGAGATGCGGAGAGGCAATCGTACAAGATCGGATGAGCTGTCTGGCGATGATGATGATGACAGGGATGGAAAAAGTAAGCCTTCCGTTGTGGCGCATTACTTTCTTAAAAACACAAAGAGTGACGTGATCTAGGAGGATTTGTAAGGATGGCAAAACAGCTGAAAAGTGCGTCGTTGTACCAGCAGGGAGCCTTGGCTTTAGCGGAAAGAGTTAAGGGACGAAGACTAAATGCTAAAAGCCGAGTGAGTTTGTTATAGTGAATAACTAGATGGCGTCCCCGATCTTACCCTGGAAGCGCGCTCTCATGACTGGGGAGGGTGCCACCTGAATTCAAAAGAGTCGAGGCTGTTTCCAAGTTCCGTCTGTTTTAGGGCATTCTTCGTATATGTAGTGTGTTCATTAGTGCCGTACAGATTAGCAGGTGGCCCTTTATCTGTCAGTGCCAACGGCCTTACATTTCAACGCTTTCGTCTTTGTCAAAGGCCGGGGGAACACCGCTTCGTCATCAATTGTCCGTACCGGAGAGAGACGGTCGCGAGAGACAAAGACGTAAGCCTGAGTCGATACTCACCATCCCTTTTCCATATCTGCAAAGAACCGCTTTTGCCATAATCTCCTTGCTGACTCAGACGCCAGGTCATCTTCGCCGTCAAATGTAAATGAACTTTACTGTCCCACTAAGTATGATCCAATGATGGTTGATAACTCCCTCACATGTAGTAAACCAATCAATAAATTGACTGAAGGACTTAGCAAGTCGTTGCAAAAACTGCCTATCTTTTGCTCCGTATGTCATTTTAGGGAGGCGAATTTTAGCCTTATCGGCCCACGCATAAAGGAGTCT